ATAGATCAAAACACACCCAATAACTCATAGCGCATATACTCTATTGCCGCCATAATACCATAGTGAGATTAAACCCTATCCTTCATAAGCTTGTGGAAACACAAATCATCTAGAATTTTAACTCTTCTGCAAATCTCGCATTCACTCACACAACAGTTAAGCCCACTCTCTAGACGACCAAATTTAGATTTCAACACATATTCTTCACTTGTAAATGAGATCTTCTAATAGACAACATAAGGATCACACAACCTTAAAACACTCCGCAGGAGATAACCCACTTGCCTTGCCTCCAACTGACATTTCTGTATAACTTCCACCCTCACAAGCATTACACAGTCACTTGATCTTCCTGAGTCTGGACTCATACCGCAACATGAAATTTACTTCACTCTCACTGGGAAACATGAAAAGATCCTTCATATGCCCATAACTCGGGGCTATACCTCGAATCAAGATGGAATTCCAGCACCTAATAGTTCCTCTATCCTTCAGCAGGCCTTTCTCGTCACTCCCACGTCATATAGATACATCTCGCAGCACTAACATACTCTCACATAGCCACGACCATCACTTCCACTAACAGGGACACTACTGAACATATAAGTTCAAAAATACTTGTTCACACAATCAGCACCTCGGTGCTCAAGCCATAGGCAAAGATCCAGCCTCAAGTCCTCCAGACTGGCCCAACATCAACTCACAGAGATCACATCTCGCCCCTCGATCGGGGAATCACAAGCCATCAAGGCACATCTTATACTGAGCGCTCATGCGCGCATACGAACGCGTGGAAGGAATTCAAAGAGTTACATTTCAAGCTGAATCCAAGGACGCACGATAAGAATTCAAGAATGTGAAGTTTTCCTAAAGGTTCTGCAGCCTCTCGAGAATAAATACAGACGTCTCCATACCGATTCGCGAGACTCTACTAAACCTGCTCATGACTCATGAGACCTATGTAACCTAGGCTCTGATACAACTTGTCACGACCCAAACCCCGATCTGGTCGTGATGGCGCCTCTCGTGAAGACAAGGCCAGCCAACCAACCCATTTCGCCTTTTCAAAATAGTTAAATATTAATTCATAGTTTTAACATAATTAAATAACCACAGTCTAAATAGAGATTTCTTTATTAAGTGCGGAATTCAACCCAAACACAGCCCAAACCGGGGTGTCACAAGTCACGAGCATCTATTAGAGTATAAATACGACTACAAGGCCTGTAATATACAAAATAGGACTGATAAACAAAAGGGAGAAATGCGGTGCTGCGAACGCTGGCAGTCACCTCGCTTAACTCTGATAACTTAGCCTCCGATCAGCTCAGAACCCGCTACCGGGGGAACAAATACCTGTATCTGCACACGAGGTGCAGGGAGTAAAGTGAGTACTCCAACTCAGTGAGTAATAAAGGTAAATAATAACTGAGCAGTAAAAAATCACGTAAGACAAACCATCATGCTATACAGAGCAGTGTAAAACCTTTTGAGAAAAACAATGAAGCTGTGAAATCTTAGAAAAACGCCTTAGCTCAGTTTAAGACACTTTTAAAAAAATGGCTTTCTCAACAGTTATGCCAATGAATGCAAAACAAATAGTGCAGATAAGCACAAAAATCCGCCCCTCGGGCACAACGCTCACTCAACAGATAATGCTAGACAATCGGGTAGATACCACGTGAAGCAACATAGACAACAGATAATGGCAGACAAATGAAACAAAGTAAATACATAGATTAGTATCATATAGTAACCGCTGCGGCGTGCAGCCCGATCCATATATCGCTGCGGTGTGCAGCCCGGTCCATAGGGGTGTGCAGACTCCGGGAGGGGCCCCTTACGGCCCAAACGCAATATCAAGTCATCTCGTGGCATCAAATCCAGGCCCTCGGCCTCATATCTGTACCAGTATAATACTGCTGCGGCGCGCATCTCGATCCCATAGTATCCTCACAACACAGGCCATCGGCCTCACTCAATCAGATAAAATCATCACAAGCCCCTCGGGCATCAGTAAAACAGTAGTTCTCAGCCCAAAACATCATTTAGAAATATCGTTTAAGTCTCAAAATTGAGTAAAAATGGCTGAGTTGTAAAACAGTGGAAAACAGTATGACTGAGTTCAAGTAATAAGTCAAAACAGTGAGGAAACAGTGATAATAATCCCCGAAGGGTTCAAATAGTTGGCACGAAGCCCAAATATGGCAATCAACCCAAATCATGATGATAACAAGTAAGTTTCAGTCAAATACACGGACCAAGTCACAATCCCCAACGGTGCTCTACCCCACGCTCGCTATCCGGCTGCAAGTCACCTCAATATAACATTACGATGTGCAATTCGGGGTTTCAAACCCTCAGAATATCATTTACAATCATTACTCACCTCGAACCGGCGAAATCTCTAGCTCGCGATGCCTTTGCCCCACAAATCGGCCTCCATGCGCGTAGAATCTATTCAAAATTAGAACGAATACGTCACAATATGCTAAGGGAACAAAGCCCAAGCGAAAACAATTGAAAAATATCAAAAATCCCGAAATTAGCAAAACCTGAACCCCGGGTCCGCTTCTCGAAACTCAGAAATTATCACATCAACGGGCTCCTTATCTCCTCACGAGTTCATACATACCAAAAGTTCTCAAATCCGACCCCAATTGGTCCTTCAAATCCCCAAATCAAATTTCAAAATCCCAAGCCCTAGTTTCTTCCATTTTTGCTTAAGCTCCATGAATTTCTAGGTTAATTTCATAATAGAATCACGTTTCAGGTTCAAAAATCTTACCTCCAATCAATTCTCCTTGAATCCCTCTTTAATCACCTTCAAAAACCTCCCAAAATACTCAGCTATGGAGGAAAAAATGGCTCAAAATCGCGGATGAAATGTTTAATAATCTCACTGCCCAGTTCTGGAAATCCTTCATCGCGATCGCGACCAAGGTCTCGCGATCGCAAAGCACTAAATTCCGGCTTCTCAAAAACACTCTATGCGAACGCGACCATAGCAATGCGAACGCGATGCTTTGACTCTCAAACTTACGCGAACGCGTCCCATTCCATGCGAACGCGAAGAACAATTACACCTGGACTCCAAAGCCTTCTACGCGAACTCTCACCTGCGAACGCGAAGCACAAGGTGCTCACCCTCCGCGAACGCGAGCCCTCAGGCGCGAACGCGAAGACCAAACTCAGACCAGCCCACATTTCTTCTACGCGATCGCGAAGGCCAAAAATTGCCTGCAACTGCTACTGCATTTTCTGCAATCTTCAAAGTCTCAAAACTTCCCGTTAGCCATCCGAAATCACCCCGGGACCTCAACCAAAAGTACCAACACATCCTAAAACCTCATTCAAACTTGTTCCAATCATCAAAACACCTCAAACAACACCAAATCCATCAATTCACATCGAATTCAAGCCTAAGTTTTCTAAAAACTTCCAAAACACGCTTTTGATCAAAAACCCAATCAAACCACGTCCAAATGACCTGAAGTTTTGCACACACATCCCAAATCACATAACGAAGCTACAGCAACTCTCAGAATTCCATTCCGACCCTCGGATCAAAATTTTACCTATCAACCGGGATTCGCTAAAATACTAACTTCGCCAATTCAGGCCTAATTCTACACTGGACCTCCAAAACCAATTCCGATCACACTCCTAAGTCATAAATCACCTAACGAAGCTAACCAAATCATAAAAACTCCGATCCGAGCTCATATACAAATAAGTCAAATCTGGGTCAAACCTTTCAAATTTCAAGCTTCAAACTAAGAACTGTTCTTTCAAATTCATTCCGATTACCCTTAAAACTAAAACCAACAATTTACATAAGTCGTAATACAACACACGGGGCAAGCCATGCCCGAGGACTGTCAATCAGAGTGTAAAAACTCAAAACGACTGGTCGGGTTGTTACAGTAATGAATCTTGAAAGAATTTCGATATTATATTTGATATTTTTCTTAAAATACTCCTTTTATTTAATATGTTTTGTATTTGATAGAGAATTTATATAAAAATATAATTCACAGTTTAAATATGATTCTCAAGCATCGTTTATTTTTAAGTTTCAACAAGTTCATAAAGTGACACATAATTCACCTTACAATACCGTGATAACTAATTATTTGTAAATAGTTAATACTGAGCTATTAAATTAGTAAGTATTGTATCTCATAAACATGAAAAAAATTAATGTTTAGAAAAATAATTAAAAAAATTATGGACTATTATATAGTAAAGACATAACAAAAGTTAATAAATAAATACTTTTTAGATGAAAGATTTATTTAAAATTAACTACCATAGCAGTCTTAGTGGATAACGTGCAATAATTTTTACTTTAATTATGACATAAAATACTCTCAACTTAATGATTTATAATTAGGAAAAAAGTAATTTTGAATAATCAAGGATTTAATAAGAAAATTTGAGAATTTACAAGGTTAGTTACATACAATTGCATATAGTTCTATTAGGCGTGCCCAGTACGCTGGGCGTTGGACGTGTCCCGGGCGTAAGCCCCAAAGGCCGAAGTATAAGTCTCACGGAACTAAGCCTCACACATAAGCCCAGGGGCATTTTATGAGTGCTCCGCCCCGGAGCGAGCCCCGAGCGAATCCCAATCTGCATTTTAAAACAGAGGTGTATATATGAGTATACTCGGGGTCTCTTGTTCGGTAATTCCACACGTCATCTACGTGTCAAATTACATATTAATGTCAATGGAAGTTTCGCTACACAATATCAGAGGATAACAAAAGATGTGTACCAAATTAACAAACTTATAAAATTTATTTATATGGTGTATGTATTAATTTATGACATGCATTTACATAGTATAATTTTTAAACTTAAGTGTAGTTAATTAATTAATACTATGTGGAGAAATAACAATCCGAAAGGGACCTAATGCATACGCGTCCCACTTGCATACATCCATATATATCATCACATACAAATTCGTACATTCTTCTTTCTCACCTACCCACCCCCTTCCAACAAGAAAAACTGAAGAAAAAAAATGTGTTCTATTCCTATTAAAATACTTGTCCTCAAATAAGTACACTAATTAGGAAACTGAACTAACTCATTGTCTATATATTGTCCACTTTGCTTCTAGTTTCTCTCTTACATACCATTCTACTATTAATAATTCCTTTCAATGACCAAAATTACCAACTCTAGTATTCCCTTAATTCAGCCTCTAAAAATTCTCCAGTTCCTTAAAAAAGAAGTAATCAAAGCCAAAGGAGTAGAGAAGAAGAATGACGCCGGAGAGAAGACCGCCGGCGGTGGCGATGCCGCCGGAGAGAAGACCACCGGCGGTTTCAGTGACGCCGGAGACGATGAGCTTGCTACCATCCTGTTAAAACTCGATTTGCATTGTGAAGGTTGTGCCAAGAAAGCCAAACGTTCAATTCGCCGATTTGAAGGTAATTAATTTAAATAAACATCATTATCTACATAATAGTACACATAAAAATTGTAATTTTTGAAGGAAAAAAATAGTATTTGAAGTTAAGTTGAAAATGGTATTTGAAATTTGAAATTGTGTTTGGACATGCATTTCAAGTGAAAAAATATTGCAGTTTTGTGAGTGGAGAAAAAAAAATTTGAAATTTTGAAAAAGTAGTCAAAACGATTTTTTGGTTTTTGAGAAACTAATTTTCGAATTTTTTTTAAAAACTTACGAAATTTCATGACAAACGTATTTTTGAAAAAAATTTCGAAGAAAAAAGAAATTTTTTTGAACGAACAAACAGGTCCTTAAACGGATACAAGAAAATTATATGAAGGTTTGGGCTAATTTTTATTTATTTTTAATTGAAGCTGTGGAAGACGTAAAGGCGGATTACACCAGTGGGAAATTGACGGTAAAAGGGAATGTGGACCCCTTATGGCTCCAGGAGATGGTGGAAAATAAGACCAAGAAGAAGGTGGAACTCCTCTCTGCTCAGCCCAAAAAGGACGGTGGCGCCGGCGGCGACGACGGAGATAAAAAATCCGATGACAAAGTTGAGAAAAAGGCCGAGGAGAAGAAAGGGGAAGATAAAAAGCCCAAGGAGGTAATTTACTTCTTTTTTTTCTTCTACCGTACACTTTATACCAGGAGTTAGAGTAATTACTGTTTAGTTTTTTATCAGTAAAACAAATAAATTTGTTGTTGGATTATCAGAATTTTTTCTAACTTTCTGCTATTGTCTCTTTGGTTATTGTTTAGCCTCAATTTAACACGGTGGTACTGAAGATTCGGCTGCAGTGTGACAGGAATGCACAAAAAGCAAAGCGAATTATAAAGAAAATCGATGGTAAGATAAACCCATTCTTGTACCTTGATGTAATGAATTTAACCTATACTTCCTTCCATCCACTTTAATTGATTTTTTTTACTTTTTTTTGTGGTCCACAATATTTGATTTTTTAGATATTAAAAAGAATTAACTTTCTTTTCCAAATTTGCGTTGGAGTTAAGAGCCTAGGACTATTTGTTGTATTTCCAATAAACAAATTAAGGTTAATGTGATTAATTTCATTGTTAATTAATATTAAAAGATGAATTCCTTAATATGTATGAAAATAGCCAAAAAATCAATTAAAGTGAACCGGAGGAAGTATAACCTAATCTTGCAAAGAATTTTACACTCATATATTATTTAATTAGTTCTATCATATTACTAATCTCACTTAATAGGGACGATTACATGTCTAAAGCTGATAGAAGTTGAACTCTAATTTAATTGTATGTACTAACATTAAAGTGTAACATGCAATCGTCGTCTTCAATATTTTTCAAACAGATTCCCATTCTTGTAACAATATCATATTTCATTGTAGTTGACAAATTTTTCTTACTATTTTAATCTTTTTGACAGGAGTGGAAGAAGTGAGTATAGCTCTAGAAAAAGATATGGTGACAGTGAAGGGAACAATGAACGTAAAGGAGCTAACATCATCATACTTGAAAGATAAATTGAAGAGGAACATAGATGTTGTTATTACACCAAAGAAAGATGGTGAATCAAAAGTGTCAAGTACAGAGCTGAAAGAGCAAAAGACAGAGGTGATTAACAAAATGGAATACTATGGCCACAGTAATCCAAATACGTACTACGCAATGCCAATGTACAATCACAATTACATGGATCAAGATTATGGCTTGGCAATGCACAATCCTCGAATGGTTACAGGCCAAGATTATATATATGATCATATTGGTGGCTATGTGCCCCCGCCATTCTTAACAGCGCCTCAAATGTTCAGCGATGAAAATCCTAATGGTTGCTCTCTTATGTGACAAGACGACGACGACAACAACAACAATCCAGTAGAATCATACTAGTGGGGTCTGGGGAGGGTAGAATGTACGTATACCTTACCCCTACTCGGGATAGAGAGGCTGTTTCCGGGAAACTCTCTTATGTGACAAGATTACAATATAAGTTCAGCTCAAATGTAAATAAGCCAAATACATATACGCACCATTAAATTTGGCCCAATTTTTCATTTCGGCATTTTAACTCAGCCTTGTTTTATTTTGGCCCTCCAACCCCATTTCTTTTGTTTCACTTTAACACAAAAATTTTTCTCCCAGGTAAAAATGCAGCGCGTGCAAATACCCAGCTGCTATCCCTTCCCCCACCCCACT